GAGAGAGAGAGAGAGAGAGAGAGAGAGAGAGAGAGAGAGAGAGAGAGAGAGATCTGCCCCGAAATATCATCTGGATTTTGTCTTCAGAATTCCTTAAATATATTTCCTGAATGTGAGCAGAACGAGATCCTTAATCACCACATAGAGTAACATCAGCTTGTCCATATCATCTCAGGAGTGTAAATTAGTCACCGTCACATGGTTATCATGGTTGGAATTAGGTTGGTCTACTTTTGTCGCAGGCTGGGCACACACCTTACAACTATCGCAAGACTTTTGTCTTGCGATGGTTGTAAGGTAATTAAAAAAACGTACGATCTGCCTATCTTGGACAGGCAGATCGTACTTGCGATGATCGCAAGCCGCGCCCCCCTGAGGGGCGGGCTTCCGATGACCGCAATGCCGAACGGGCAGTGTGCGCTTGCGCACACCGGCCCGTGCGGCTTTTATCGTACGAACATTCTACACACCCGCCATTATCGTACGATGCTCGGCGGGTTTTCGAACATGTCCGTAAGTTAAAAGTCGTGCGACCTTACAGTAGTAGAGGTCGCACGGCTTCCACACACGTTACCATAATCGTACGATCGCGGGATTTCCCTTGATTATCTTACGATTATCGCAAGGTGTTTCTGGGACCTTTAGATTACACGGACTATAATAGTTACTCTGAGGCATAAACCCTGAAGACTAGCAGGCAGTTTGGTTGTAAAAGTCATTAAAATCTGATCTGGATCATTAGCGTCCCTGCCAAACACAACACGTTGCAACAGTTTAGTAGCGATTTTTATAATTTAGTATCCCGCAGTTCTCCTCTAAAATGTAACTAGCGCTGATGAAAACGAAACCTGTAAACTCTTTACACAGACGGCCCGTGTTGGTCCTGCAGTTGAGGTTGCAGAGGTAGATATGTGGACTGATCCAGCACACAGCGTACTATATGTGCTCTCTGTTTTCTTTACAGTTACTCAAGAAATCACCCCGTGTTCCTGCAGCTCAGCGATTATTTCTGGGTGAAGAACGAGTCCAAGTACGCCTTGCCGTATGGCACAAAAGGAAGCGGTAAGAGACAAATGGGCTCAAACAAACCTCTTCTGTTCTTTGGCCCTAAAAAGCAACCAAGGGGGAGGCCAGCACGAGTCACTGGTGTGTGCCCGGAGATCTCTGACTCATCCTTGTAGTTCTGTACACACAAATATCTGCACAGCGCCGGCTGCACGTTACACGGCACTAACATGAACGCAGACTGCAGTGTGTAAGGGCGACGGCGGCTCGATTTTATATTAATTGCTCCTCTGGGGGTTGACTGAGGCTGGAGCCAGTGCAGCTGCATGTGCTTTCTGTGTGTCCCTATACTGGAGAAAAAAAAGCAATAGCAAGTGGAGTGTATGTAAGCCGTATTCTTCCCTGACCTCGAGATTTCTACTACAACTCCCAGTGTGTATACAGTGAAGATTCTGCCATCCACCTCTATTACACGTGTCTGGGCCGCTCTTATCACAGAGGTGCCTACATATCTCCAGATTGTGAGGGTTCAAAGCTGCAACATCAAAGGGAAGTGCAAAAATAGGAAAGTGGTGGAGACATGCCACAAAATGACCCCATCAGAATAATATCCCGTCCCAAGAAAAACCTCAGAACACCGCTTTCCACCATTTATAAATGGACGCCTCCAGTGTGTAGCTGTGATGTGCCCTCAGCTTTGCAGCACCTCTAAGGTGACGGTTATAACGGCATCTTTATATAACGCTTACAGGGTTTCATTTGGGCCACAAACATTTTTTCTGTGAGACTTCTATTGGCACATACACCACATATATGATTAGGAGACATGGGTGTGTACATATATGATTAGAAATGATGAGGAAACATAGACACGTGCATATATGATGAGGAGACATAGACACGTGCATATATGATTAGGAGACATAGACGTGTAAATATATGATTAGGAGACATAGACGTGTACATATATGATGTGGTGACATAGACATGTGCATATGATGAGGAGACCTAGACATGTGCATATGATGAGGAGACCTAGACATGTGCATATATGCTTAGGCGACATAGACGTGTACATATATGATTACCACAAGTGGAAGATCATACATTTTATATACACATGTAATTGTTTTGTATCATACTGCAATTCCTGCAGCCCCATACAAGCCAGACACAAGTCACAATGAATACGTTGCATCTCCTATAACAACCAATGTGGATCTTTCTTTCAGAGGATCTGTTGATGAAGTTTCTGGCACTAACATACAATTATCACATGCAACCAGAGATTCAACGGTGAGACGGATTCCGCTACCTATACTAAACTAGTCCTGTGTGTCTTTGTCAGCAAATGTAACAGAACGATTGAACTCAGAATGGAAAGCTGCAATGTGAAATAGTTGACATTAGACCCGGAGATTGTGGAGGAGGAAGAACCTGCATACACTGTGTTATATCAAAGCCAAAATCCTGGCTACTGGCTAGATGTGTCCCTACTGTGATTTATTGTGTATGCAATTGTAGAGGGGCCGCTCTGCTGAATAAAAGATTTGCACAGCTAGGACACAAAAAAAAGTATAAAATCAGAGATGAGGTGTAATAAACATGAACAGGATCGTGTGACAAATTTACAGCATTTTATCTCACACAGGAATCAGGAATGGCTCAGCCTGACAGCCATGGAAATAAATACTTAGGACAGGTAGTCTGTCAGGACAAGAAAACAGCACGTTACTAATCTCATTCATAATAAATACTGAGCAACCAACCTGCAGAACAATCATTTATCATATATGTCTATACCCTCCCCTCTCTAGATCCTCCTCCCAGATCCCACTCCTCCCCTCCTAGATCTCTTCTCTCCTATATCCCCCCCTCCTAGATACCCTCATTCTAGACCCCTCCCCTCATAGATCCACCTTCTAGACTCCTCCCCTCCTAGATCTCTTCTCTCCTAGATCCTCCCCTCCTAGATTCCCCCCCTCCTAGATACCCTCATTCTAGACCCCTCCCCTCATAGATCCACCTTCTAGACTCCTCCCCTCCTAGATCTCTTCTCTCCTAGATCCTCCCCTCCTAGATTCCCCCCCTCCTAGATACCCTCATTCTAGACCCCTCCCCTCATAGATCCACCTTCTAGACTCCTCCCCTCCTAGATCTCTTCTCTCCTAGATCCTCCCCTCCTAGATTCCCCCCCTCCTAGATACCCTCATTCTAGACCCCTCCCCTCATAGATCCACCTTCTAGACTCCTCCCCTCCTAGATCTCTTCTCTCCTAGATCCTCCCCTCCTAGATTCCCCCCCTCCTAGATACCCTCATTCTAGACCCCTCCCCTCATAGATCCACCTTCTAGACTCCTCCCCTCCTAGATCTCTTCTCTCCTAGATCCTCCCCTCCTAGATTCCCCCCCTCCTAGATACCCTCATTCTAGACCCCTCCCCTCATAGATCCACCTTCTAGACTCCTCCCCTCCTAGATCTCTTCTCTCCTAGATCCTCCCCTCCTAGATTCCCCCCCTCCTAGATACCCTCATTCTAGACCCCTCCCCTCATAGATCCACCTTCTAGACTCCTCCCCTCCTAGATCTCTTCTCTCCTAGATCCTCCCCTCCTAGATTCCCCCCCTCCTAGATACCCTCATTCTAGACCCCTCCCCTCATAGATCCACCTTCTAGACTCCTCCCCTCCTAGATCTCTTCTCTCCTAGATCCTCCCCTCCTAGATTCCCCCCCTCCTAGATACCCTCATTCTAGACCCCTCCCCTCATAGATCCACCTTCTAGACTCCTCCCCTCCTAGATCTCTTCTCTCCTAGATCCTCCCCTCCTAGATTCCCCCCCTCCTAGATACCCTCATTCTAGACCCCTCCCCTCATAGATCCACCTTCTAGACTCCTCCCCTCCTAGATCTCTTCTCTCCTAGATCCTCCCCTCCTAGATTCCCCCCCTCCTAGATACCCTCATTCTAGACCCCTCCCCTCATAGATCCACCTTCTAGACTCCTCCCCTCCTAGATCTCTTCTCTCCTAGATCCTCCCCTCCTAGATTCCCCCCCTCCTAGATACCCTCATTCTAGACCCCTCCCCTCATAGATCCACCTTCTAGACTCCTCCCCTCCTAGATCTCTTCTCTCCTAGATCCTCCCCTCCTAGATTCCCCCCCTCCTAGATACCCTCATTCTAGACCCCCTCCCCTCATAGATCCACCTTCTTCTAGACTCCTCCCCTCCTAGATCCCCCTCCTAAGTCTTACTAAGACATACCCTTAGATATGAACACTGTCGGCCTTCGCCTTTCGTGAGGGCAGATAGTGTTCATAACTAGTTTACAACTGATGATAAGATCTGCCCGCACAGTACGCATGCCTTAAAATTAATTGTTTTGGGAGACATTAAATTGGTGGGTAAATTCCACTTCAAAGCAGAACAAAAATGTCATATATTAGAGTTTCCTGCAGTGGCATATCCAGGGTACGGCATAAAACAGCACATGCCCTGGACGCCACTTGAAGGGGGGGGGGGGGGGTGTCCTTGGGGGGGGGG